TTCCATCATGGGGAAAGGCAATGAGAAGGTTCATCTGTGGACCACAAAACAGACCTTCACCCCACACTGACCCTGCCAGTGCCTTGAGCTTGCACTTCCGGCCTCCAAGACTCTTGTTTATGAACCACTCGGTTTGTGGGATTTTGTTAAGGCAGCCCAGATGGACTAAAACAAGAGCTTAGACATGGGATTGAGAACAGACTGTACCAAGTGGCTGTTTCCTAAGGTGTGTAAGACCCAGAAAAGTCTCAGTGTTTGCTGACCCACTGAGTTGAAGGAAAACTTTTTCTTTGGTAATTCTACATGTGTCAGGCATTGCACTGGAAGGGAAAACATGACAAAGCTCCCCTGAAGAGAGAGTGGAGAAGATCACTAGGTCCATGTGAGTGTGAAATGCTGTGATGAGCATTGGCCACAGGCACCGAGAAGACAGGTGGCTCTCTGAGTGCTCAAGGGGGAGCCACATTGGCTGAATTAGAGTGGGAAGGAATGGCATTTCAGATTTTACCAGTCAGGAAAATTGGGAAGCAAAGGAACATCCTAGAATTTGCCCACATCTCACTGGGCCCGCTGTACCCCAATGCCATCCTGGGCTCCACCATTTGTCAGCTGTTGAAGTCACAGAATGAAAGCTGTGCAAGGCCCCCTAAGAGGTGCTCCTAGTCAAGCTAGCCTACCCAGCATCTTGTTGATGAAGCACTCCAGTTCCACAGAGGTGAAGTGACTTGGCCAAGGTCACACAGGTGGGGAGCAGCCGGCTTAGATAGAGTACACCTCACTGGGACGTCAAAGTCTAGGATGCCTGACTCCCCCACCCAAGCGGACTTCCAAGTGAAATGATTGCACGAGATACCCGTGGTCAGGGTGATTCTCGGGGGAGAGTTTGTGGGACAGGGGCTGGGCAATCGCCATGTACCTCCATGACAGACCATGATACTCCTGGAGAGAAAGTGTGAGCGTGAGCTGCCTGAATTGTGTCTCTAATCATTTTTTTAATTTTTAAAATTTAGTTATATAAAGGAAACAGTTTATGTATTTCCTATATGCAGTTTTTAAAAGATCTATTGTTTATCTGAAAGTCAGAGTTATAGAACGGAAGAGATAGAAAGAGAGAGAGATCTGCCATCTGCTGGTTCACTCCCTAGATGGCCACAACAGCAGGGTCTGAGCCAGGAGCCAGGAGCTTCATCTGGCTCTCCCACATGGGTACGGGGCCCAAGTACTTGGCCATCTTCCGCTGCTTTCCCAGGCCATCAGCAGGGAGCTGAATTGGAAGGGGAGCAGCCAGGACACAAACTGGCACCCACTGTGGGATACCGGCCTTGTAGGCAGCAGCTTTAGCTGCTACCCCACAACACCAGCCCCTCATATTTATAGTCATAAGAACATAATGATACTTCCCTCCCTCCCTCCCTCCCTTTCTCGCTCCCACCCTCCCTTCTCCTTCCTTTCTTATTTTTCTTTTTAGTTTTTCTGATGACATATTTTGAATTTGTTTTATGATCACAGGCTTAATCCTCCACTAAATAAAGAATTCAACCAGTAGTTAGTAGAATGACCACTGTTCCTCCGGAGTATAGACAAGGGCTGCAAACAACAATCATATTTCAGGTGTCAATTTCACGCAGATATGTTACTTTTTTTTTTTTAAGTACTCTATATTAGTTACCACCAAGCAGAGAAAACATATTTGTCATTTTGAGACTGGCTTAAAAGTCAACTTTAAAAGGCAGGAAAACTGCATCTGTAGTCTGTCGTGTTGTCCCGGAGACAACCACTATTAGCATTTTGGGCCTGTTCCTTCTTCTCTTTTTTCCTGTGTACACTATGGTTCGGTTTATGTCAGTTTTACAAGGTGTGAACGTACTGAAGCTCGCATAGCTCTATGCAGAGAATGTGGCAAATGTTCATGAATTCCACAGGTGTGTTTTGAAGCCCTGCCGTATACTGTGTGCTGAGCTGAGTGGTCGGAGTCACGTGTCAGACCACCCGGGAATTACCACTGGAAATACAAATCCTTCCAGTCTTTAAAAAAAAAAAAAAAACTGTGCCTGTTACATCAGGAGGTCACATGGATCTATGGCATTGCTGCAGGTGTTGTTTTAACCTGCCTTTTTCGCTTAACTGTGTAACACAAGCACTCATTCTTGTTAGAACAGACCATTTATCAACAACATTTTCATGGTGATATAAAAGTCCATCAGATAGTCGTCATTTTATCCCATGTTCACAAGAGATTGCAGTTGTTTTTAGCTTCTCTTCATTACTAATACTACAAATAGCACTGATAAGGGCATCAGGGCACACAACCCTGATGGGCATTGCAGCCTGTTTCTAACACAGACTCCTAGGACTGGTCACAGCAGACGAACAGTGTAAATGCAGTTGACATGCTTGTATACCCTGTTCTTTGACAGTTCTTCATTTGACCAGCGCGTCCCACAAAGCAGTTGTTGTAACTTTCAAAAATCCGCATCATGCTAAGTGAAATAAAGCCGTCAGGAGGGCAAGTGCTGCACGGTGTCACGTGTGCAGTTGGAATGACTCAAGTCCTAGAAGTAGAGAGAAGACTGGTGCTTCCCAGAGGCTGGGATCTGGGATGGGGCTGCATGGGCAAAGGGCCCGAAGTGTCAGGTGCACAGAATGGGTTCTGGTCCTGTGTTGCACGGCAGGTGGCTACAGTTAATAGCAGCATGCCTTTTAAAAAAGCAGAGAAGATCTCAGAAGTATTCTTACCACAAAGAAGTGAAAAATCATTTGAGCTGACAGGCCAATGAGCCTGGTTTAGTTATTTCCCGATGTGTACATGTCTCAAAACACCACATAGTAACCCACAGATCTATGCAATTATTTGTCAATTAGAAATCAAATAACTTTAAAAATTGAAAAAAGAAAATAAAGTATATATAAAAGAATATAAAGTAGTTGAGTGTGACAAAATGGAAAATAAGGGTAGAAAAGTAGTAGAAGCCAAGGGTAGATGATCACAGTAACACACGACAGAGTCCTCTGTAGGGCCCCCATGCAGGCTCGTGTTTGACTGGAAGCTTCCAGCTGTCAAATCAAAGAGGGAAACAAGAACCATGAGGTTGGCAGTTAGTGAAATGCACAGCTAAACCACGTGTTCAGCCAGCTGGTTCTGACTTATGCACGATTAGCTCGTGAGCAAAACCCCTCCCCCACCAACAGCCCTTCGGATTGACTCCCCAGCTGCATACCGGGGTGTTGGCTCAAACCATCTTACCCCGACCAAAAATGAAAAAACCAAAGGCTCACAGAGTGTAGCTCACTGCTTCCGTGGCCTCCCTCCCAGGAGAGGACACATGTTCTTGTAACTTCTGGTCTTTGGTGTGTCCCCAAAACGACAGGACTGTCTGGTGGTGAGGCTGACTTGAGTCCAGTCTATTAGTCTGGAGAATGACAGCACCAAAACTTTCAGGCTCTGAGGCTACCAAATGGCAATCCACAAAGGTCTTCAAGAATCGACTCCTTTACCTCTGAGGAAAGGAAGACTTTTATTAAAAATGAAAATGCTTTCCTACTAATTCAGAATTTCTAGAATATTCCATTCAAGAGATTACACTTGCCAAAATCCAAACATGCTGGACAGAGTCCCTTATATTAAATGGTGCAGTATTTGCATATAACCCATACACTTCTCATTCATTGTCACTCACACCCCATCCTGACCTCTAGGTTTGTTGGTCTCCTGCTGTAACTTCCCTACACCATCACCGCCACCCTCATTGCATCCAGGACAAACTGAGCCCTGAGCCTGGCCCAGCATGGTCTAACCCACATCAACCTTGCCAGCCTTTCTCCTCCTGTCTCTCAGTGGGGTCGTTAGACCCTTTGCCACACAGGCACCCTCATCTACACTTGAGTCCTTGTTCTGTCATGCCCTTACAGATGTGTCCTCTCTCCCTTTTCCTCCAAGACCTGCCTCTATGGTCACCTCCTCTGTGTGTCCCCTCCCTCCATCATGCAGATCGCCTGCACTGACCCTGTCTTTCTTCCCACAGGCCTCTGATACAGTATGTCTTACATAGCCTGTGCCATGTGGACTTGTGGTTGTCTGTCTGTCTTGTTTAGCCCAGAGTCGCTGCCCCCTCGCTTGGCCCTCTCAGTACCCCCAGCACAGTGCTTATTTGACAAGTGCTTGTTGAGTGAATCTGTCACTCATGTAGATCAGCTTGAAGCCACGGTGACCTTCAGGAGCTGGGAGATGGACTATTTCTGTTGCTTTGCTGGGAACAACTGCTCAGCTTCTCCCTCCCATTTTATGGGCAAGGATCCTTTCCCATTTGCTGCCATCGCAGCCTTTGGAGTAGTTGGGAGGAAACAGTTGTTCGTGCACAGGAGGCACGAGCCCTGTTCCCATCTCAGAGGGCTGCTCCTAGCCCGGATTCTGAGGGAAGTCACTCGTGTCCTGATGGGCACGGGGGCACCCACCCAGGAGCTGTCTAATTTTACAGGTCTGTGCCCCCGTGCCAGCTTTCAGGCTGCCAGATCTCAACTTGACACCTTGTGCCTGTCAACAGCCTGGCTGATGCCCCAGCTCCAGGCCAGAAAACCTTTTTCTCAAGGTTAAAAGTAGCTGACCTTTGACAGGCAGCATTGGCTAAATTCCTTGTGCCTTAAAAGGGAAGCTCCCAGTCTGCCAGTGCTTATTTGGCCATGGGGCGGGAGCAAGCCCTACGTCGCACCCTGTGTACCCAGCGAGAGGCTTTGTGGCTAGAGGTGCATTGGTGAACAGTTGTTATTAAAATAGCCATCTTTGAAAATGTGTCTGGGAGAAAGGGCCCCTCCGGTCTCCTGGCCAGTTTATACCACGGCCTGTGTGGCTGGACAGTTCCTGATTCCCTCTGGCTCCTACACAGGCGACAGTGCCACCCCCACCACTTCCAGCACGCTCCTTAACGTGTGTGCAGCCAGAAGGCTGACAGGATGACAAGGACACACACCGATTCTTAAATGTTTGGATTTGTGTTTTCATGTAGGGGTGACGGTGCAAAGATTGATCTGGTGGGCAGTGCGCTCTCCGGCATCCTGGACAAGGAGCTCTCAGACCGCAGCAATGATATTGGTGAGTAAGGGTGGCGTTTGGGCTTCTCTTGGCAGGGCTAGAGGAGGACTGCAGAGCCCTGCTTCGCCCCTTCAGGGAGCACGGCGAGAGCTCGTGCAAGCCGTACAGTGCAGGCTGTTGGCCCCTGCTCTGCTGCAGGTGTTGCGCTTTTGTAAAGAGGGGAGGTGATGGTGGCGCCCACGTTGCAACAGGATGTTGGGGATTTTCTCCCTTCCCTGATCTCAGAAGAAATTCCTTGCACGGTGTAGTGAAAAGAAATGATGAGTACATAAGCCTTTTGTGAAAGGAGGGCCTTCGCACTTAGGTTCTTTCTTTTTCCTCCGGTGATTTAATGTAGTTAGTGTAAAAAGGTGAATGGGTACAAATGTGGAATGGCAGGGTTCATTGGAGATGCAGCACTGACTGTTTTGACTTGGAGGTTTTTGTTTTTTTTTTTTTTTTAAGATTTATTTATTTATTTATTTGAAAGATTTACTGAGTGAGAGAGGCAGACAGACAGACTTGGTATGGTAGGTGTTCACAACATAAGTGAGATTTTCCAAGGTCAAGATACCACCATGTGTTAACTGGGAGAGGGGCTAAAATCTCCCTGGGTAAGTAGAAGTCAGAGGTCCTTTTGAGGGTGTGCGTGGGTGAGGGTGAGGCCATGGCAGTCAGACCTGGGTGATGGCCCCTCTTGGAAGTTCACGTTCAGGGACTAAATCTTCTTGTTGAAGGTTTATGTCTTTCCTTTGTACCTATTGGGGTTATAAGCTAGTGTTCTCTCATATTCTGTATATTGTAGAAGGCTCCATTTGCACTGGCCTGGTTGTAATTAAGCGTGTTATTTTGAGGTCTTTGTAGATTCACGTAAGTTGTAAGAAATAATGCAGAGTGGTCTGTGTACCCTTTCCCCCTTCCCCCTCAGTGGTAACATCACACAGGACTCTGGTATAGTGTCACAGCCAGGATACTGACATTGAGATTCACCAGTCTTACTCAGATTTCTCCAGTTTTGTTCATACTTGTGCACATGTCTGTTTAATTCTGAAATTGTATCTCACGTTTAGATTTGTGTCTCTACCACTACAGTCCGGATGCAGAACACTGCCTTCACCAACAGGATCCCTTGTGTTGCTCTTTTATAACCATATCCACCTCCCTCCTGCTCACCCCTTTCCCTAACCTCTGGCAACTGCTACCAGGGATTGATTTGACATGGCAGATAGATTTCCAGCATCATCTGTGTTGGCCACTCAATTTAGAAGCAGATGTCTGACAGTTGGCAAGCCTTATAAGAGCACTAGAGCACCTGACATGAGCATTTTCCCCTCCTGGCATTATTTGGCCGTTTGGGTGCTATTTTTTTTCCCAAACCCACTAATAGATTCGCATGTCTGCAACTGCTGAGCTGCAGTATCTGGTCTCATCTCAATGAGGCTAGGGGATAGGATGTGCCATTGAGGCTATAAATGCCAAAAGGACTTGCGCTGTTTCCAGGAAGCTGGTTCACATCCTCATCCAGCCTTTGAGCAGCCCAGTCAGGAAGCACAGCCTGATGGCTTGGGCTGATGCGATGCTAACAGAAACTCTAGCCTGCTGTAGCTTTTGATCTGGTTCAAGGGCAGGGAAGAGCAGAGCAGTGATCAGCTGCGAATGAAAAGGGATCATGAGAATGAGCCTGATGAAGTTGTCGTTCTGCAGCCCTGGCTTAGAAGTTGAGCGCGCTCGCTCGCTCTCTCTTTTTTTCAAGCCAAGGTAATTGGATGACACAATATTAGTGAAGGCCATGGTGGGAGGACTGACACAAGAAGGGAAGTGTTCTCCCACCTCCAGAACGTATGTGAGCACTGGCCTTTGACCTTGCTCTCTTTGAGTTTAAAGATGTGCAAATTGGCTATCACCAAAATATATGGTTCACACCCTGACAAGCTAATTTGGAAATGTTGGGTTGTTTGTGGGTGAGGAGGGGTTAGTGTATAGAAGCTTTTCATAGTGTGGAAACGCAACACCAGTTTGTTTGTATTTGAAGGCCTAGAAAGATGATGCTGAGGCTTGGTGCACTCTCATTTTGCTAAGAAGACATTCTTCCCAGGAGGCTGTAACTCCTCCAGTTAATATTTTAATGTATATATCATTTGCATTGCAAGAAATAGTGATTGGTGGTCATATACTCAACTTAGTAGGCACTTGAAGAGCTACTACTCAAGTGCCAGGCTGCATGGATACCTAAGCTCTCGCACACAGGCCCTGCCTTGCAGAGGCTTTGGATCTGCTTGGGGCCCTGAGCCAGCACATGGAAAGTGAGATATCGCTGAAGGTCTGGATCAGTGGCAGCTGAGTGGCAGAAAGTGCTGTCACGCGGATCAGAGGTGAGGGTGTTCCCTGGGGCCCAGGGTGTTGGGACAGGCTCCATGAAGAGGGACAGACTCACAGGGGTACTTCCGAAAGTTCAAGAAAAAGTAGAATTAACAGATAAGTCTGAGTCCAAAACTTTTGTACATCCATGCAGTTTTTTTCATAATCCATGTTTTTCCGTGGACTTTTTGAAGCCCTCTCACATGTGTCGCTGGAAGTTGGCTGAGGTGGGGGGTGGCAGTGGGCAGGGAGATCTCCTGGGGAGTGTTGGGAACTGTGTGAGGAGCATCCTGGCTGCAGTAAAGGGTGTGCTGGAAAGGGTGAGGGCAACCTGGAAAGCGACCCAGAGAGCAGATTGCTTGAGAGGGATGGATTTGTAAACTGAATTCTGTAAGCCGTGGGAGCCATTGGTGGGGGACACTGAAGTCACGTGATCGTGTCTCAGAATGCGGATAACTGGTGACATTCTATGGGAGCGATCAGGTGAAGGAAAGCTGAGTGTCCAGGAGTATTTGAGCTGCTCACCAAAGGAGTGGGTAGGAGGGGCTGGCTGCGGCGGCAGCCCTGCAGGAGACTGTTCGCTGGGCCTTAGGGACAGATTGGATTTGGGAGCAGCGAGGAGGAGAACGGTCCGTTAGTCCTGAGGTTTTAGGCTCAGGTGACTTGGTGGGGGGAATGACGTGGGTAGAAATGAACACGTCAGAAGCAAGAGCTGGTTTGGGGGAAAAGGTGTCAAATTTAGCTGAGCATGTTGACTTTGAGGCTTGGCCGGACGTCGCCGAGTGAGTCGTGGGTGGAGGCTGAGGAGAGAGACAGCAGGGGTTGGCGGCAGAGACGAGGAGCTTCCCGGCCACGGGAGAGAGAAGGCAGGCCTGGCGTCTGCAGCCCTGGGTTTGGGTGCTAACTGTGCTGCTTCCTGGCTGGGTGGCCTTCCGAATTTGACACGGACACTCTGAGCTGCAGCTTCCTTATCTGTCAAGAGTGCTACCATCTCTGTCAACATTCTCCCTTTGTCTTCCAGAAGTATGTCAAAGTATTTAGTGGGATGCCAAAAATACATACATACATACATACATACATACGTACGTATATACATACATACATATGAGTAATGCTGCTTGGTTAGATGCGGTGGTTGGGCCCAGAAGATCAAGTCCTTCCATGAGGAAAGGGAAAGAGCCCAGGGCTGAAGACCAAACCGCCACCAAGTCCACATTTAAGGGCCAAGCAGCAGGATCTTGTCGCATCCCAGGAGCCAAGAGAGAAGGGATTTGAAGTGGAACGTCTTTAGTTTCAAAGGCAGGCAGGAATGCCCTTTGGAGGTGGATTGGACAAGAAGAAAAGGACACTGCATAGGGGGTTGTCTCTTGAGGGCTGCTTCTGTACCATTTCTTCATGGCTCTGAATGAAGGAGGAGGACTTTTTTTTGTACCAGAACGTTTTGTTAGTGAGTCAAACAATTGAAGCTATCCGAACGTGGGCTGCAGTGGGAAGCGGAACGCAGCCCTGCAAGCCATTAGAAGCCATCCGTGTCCGCTATAAATAAATCTGTGTTTCCTCTTAATAAAGCTATAATTTAAAATTATTATAATATTAAATTAGAGAACATGGCTTTTTCAGATCTCGTGTGGGCAGCTACCAGCATCTGTCAGCCAGAGATAATTTAGAATAAAATCAATTGGTCCAAACCCAAATTGTTGATGTCAGTTTGAGATATTGTTTGTATCAAACTATGCGACCATATTTCAAGTAACATAATAGAAAATATGGAAGAGCTCCAACACAGGCCTGTGCATGAATAGAAATGAAAATTAAATCGTCCAGTTTGCTCTTGGTGACGGAAGAATCTCTGTTCCGATTGAATGGGAGATTATAGGCCGCAAAGTCAAGTGCTATAACATTTACTTTTATGATGCCATATATTGTAGTTCCCATCGTGTGGCAGGATTTATTGTTCCACTTCATACTGCCGAGAGATTGTCAATGCCTTTCTCACTGAGCAACCAGCCCCTAGCTAGGAAGACACCTGTGAACCAAGCACCTGGCTTCACCTAAGTGATTCAGAGAGAGCCCATGTCATTCCTCCTCAGTTGCTTGGCATCTGTGTTTGAGCTGATGTTTATTCCGTTCTCACCAGATCTCCTTGGACTTCCTGTCTGTGTATCTGTATGCAGACACGGCCCCTCTCCTCACTTGGCAGAGTGTCCTTTGAACTTGACCCACACAAGCTCAAAACTTGACAAAGCACACCTTCCACTGGAGTCAATTTGAGGGCCAGGTCATCAGGCTTGGGACCCAGGAGGGTTTGGAAGACTGACTTCTACCCATCCTCAATGTCTTATGGGTACTCGGGGCCTGTGGCTCCTTTGGACCGGGAGATGCCTATGGCCTCAGAATGCTGTCAATGGCCAGTCCATTAGGAGTTCTGCAGAAGTTCTGAGACTAGACTGTGGTGATGGTTGCACAACTCTGCGTGTTTATCAAAATGGCCAAGTTGTGCACTGAAACATCAGTGAAGTTTCTGATGTAGAATTTACACATCAGTGTTGCTGTTAAAAATGAGGAAATGTGCTAATTGAAATTTTCCTAACGTTCACTCTGAGTGCCAGTGTTAAAAACGATAAGCATGCACTATCCTCTGTGTGTCAGGTGAGAAGTGCCCC